TTCATACCTGCGCGGGTAACGTCGCGTTGTACAGGAAAACCCGACCGAAGGTTACCGTAGCCTTGAACGTGCAATCGAATAGTCGATACACCGGTACGGAGATGTGTCGATGGATAAAAGTTGGATCGAATCTTAAGAAAGAGCAACGAATGCTGGGTAAAAAATCGTGAAGTACGGAGAGAGAACAGCGACGATATAACGGAATTTTAACATACGATGACGCGATTCCTCGTATCTCGAGATCAACAAACGTTGAGAGCTGAGAATCGATCGTTGTATCGATAATATGTATCTATAAGATAAATGGAATTAATTGCCCGGGCTCGTTGAGTAAAATAAAATGGGAAAATAATTATCATGTATCGACGACGATCGCTCGTGGTAATTTATTTATATATGCACGCCTATTTGCTAGTATGAAACATGTTGTTTGGAAAAAAAGACTCGGAAATATTCGATTCAAAACGCCAAGTAAATCCTAAAACGTTATGAAAGAATGCCGTTCGTTAAACTGCATATTTATCGAACGAACTGTCGAATTGCTATCCATTTATTCAAATAAGAAAGTGCACCCCGTTAACGTCGTTTTACCTCAGCCGCGTATTACGTCGCCGCAAGTGTCCTATCATAGCGATAAAAAGAAGCAAGGAACAAATACCATTACCCGTCTATTCACGTCCGCGATTTTTCTTCGTTTTTTTTTTTTTACGAAGGCTTCATAAATTTCGCGATAATCTCACGACGCCGGGGCCTCGAGATACATAAAACCACGCGAATGCATACACGCGAAAAGAAATGCCGGAGTTCAAGTTTTGATGCATCACCGACGTTATTCCCTTTATATAAAATTTTATGAATCCTTTTCAGCAGGAATTCAGCGCACGAAAGGAAGCGGATAACGCGGATCCACGGCGGCTGTGAGTGTCTTTTTAAAAATTCATTAAGAACACAGGCGGTACGGTTGTTAGAGGTTATGATCTTTCAAGACCGGTTTACTTTTTTTCACCCCCTTAATATGTATGTCCGCAATGAAACAGAGGCGTGTATCGGGCCCGCTTTATTCACGACACACCTACAACTTGTTCCTCCTGTGACGCCGCGTTAGTTTCTTTCCGCGCCCACGACCCAGTGACGTGTTTCGTTGCACATCAACGCCGTGATATAAATTATTCACGGTATCGGGAACCATTCGTCATTGTCACCTGCCCCGTGGATTCAGAGCGATCGGGATGTTCGGCAATGAATCGCGGACCGATCGTTTTAAGCGAGTCGTGTTTTGAACAGGTCGAAGAAACGCTAGTATTTTGGTCCCCTGGTTTTCTATTTTATAATAGATCGTTCCAAGAATTCTTACAAACGCGGGGTTAACGTGGTTTTTTAACAAAAATAAGTTTCTGGTTACTGTAGAGATGAGAAACGAATTGATAAACTACGTTTTATCGTTTGCAAACAGAAATTGTTCGCATATTCATCTTTTTTAAACGATATGCACTCGTTGTGTACCCACAGATGAGAAATGAAGCAGCGAATCCATATTTTATCACGTTAGTTTATAGAATAACTTCCACCACAAGATATGCATACTGCGTTGACGTCGTCAATTTTAATTCCTATGTTTAATGTATCAGAAAAAGTGTTTCGAGGCTTGAACAGGTAAAATTACACTTCGCTATGGGGGATCTATAAATATAACTCTATTTTTCTCAGTGGAACTGACCATTCACCATCTTTTCCTCCAACGAACATGTTTTACAGAAAAATACAAACGCGTTTCTTTATGCTTCTTCGTTAGCAGTGGTTTGTACATCAATTTCTTGCGTTTTAAATATTCACGTCTCTGTACACCGACTGTTTTTGATTTTACTTACGGTATAACGAACTAAAATCTCAGAAAAAAAATATTTTTTTTTTTATTTATATCCGTTGTTATAACCTCGAAGTATCGTTTATATTTTATGAAACATCCTTTATGATATTTATAAATAGTGTACTTTACAAAGTATTCTAGGCGAGCCGATACTGATAATTTGCCATTAAATAAAGTTGAATTGAAGCATAAAAACGATAGTGTATAAATACTTCGTGCCTCGTTCTTGACATCGCTATAATTTCCACATTTTACGAGAAACGAGAGGTGCAATTTTTATTCTATTCAGATTTAACCGCAGATAATCGATTTTTCTGCTCAGGATGATCGTATAGCGACGTTCACTTCGTTTCGTTACAACCACGTACAGGGTGTTACCAACTTCGAAATTCGATATAATGTAAATAGCGTGAAATGTTTATCAAATGATATCTGACTTTGAAATGTAAATAAAGCCAGTTCGTCGCAGTGTTGATGCATATTATTTATTAGTAAATATGAAAACGATATTCAAACAAATTTAATATTATTTTTCAAGAGAATGGCTGACTGTGTAGAGTACAATGTAATAAAAATTAATTTTTTGCCATAAAAAACACAATCAAGATAAATTTTGCATTCTTTAGATCAATTTCCACCAAACCAAAGGTGCAGGATCCATTCATGTTACTGGCGATATATAATATAGTGACACCCTGTACATACAGCGCCGTACCGGTTAGGCAAAACAATCCATCACTGAAGGTTATTTAGAAATTAATCGAGATTTCTATCACGCGAGAAAATGAACATTTATAACATTCGTTTAACGCCGTTTTATACGTACACTATTACTTTTCATTTCGATAAAAATATTATAATATCGTCGATGAATGCAAGATAGTGTTTATCGAGATATATTAATTTTCTATAAAATGACTTGTGACATTTAAATAAAATTGGACTAAAATATCCGGAACGTTTAAATCGTCCTTTTTTCGAGGGGATATTTTATTTCACGCGATTAACATTGTGCATCGGAAATTTATATTTATAAAAACAGTTTCTAAAGGTCATAATTCCAAAAATAATATTTACGCATAAAATATGCGGCCGAGGAGCGGCAAACATTCAAGGACATTTTTTTGCACATCCATAACGCTTCAAGTACTTATCTTTCATCAGATTCTCATTTAGTAAAACGTATAGCTCGGTTGAATTGGTTCCGGCGAGCCCGCGGGGGAAAAAATTTTTTTACCTCGTTCCTCGTAAACTTTTATTTAAAAACAGTTGCAAGGAAGAAAGTTCAGCAAATGAACTAGAAAGTTTTGTATCTTCGCTGAAATTAGTAACGAGAAAATTTGCACGTACTGGCGCGGTGTCCCATTGGTCGGAAAGAAATTGCTAACAGCCGTGTAATTAACAGGGCAAATCCCATTATGCTGTGTGTTACAGCCGATTACATAGTTAGGAGCATATCATCGAACCGTGCCAACGAAACTTGTTTATTTACGCTGATGGCCAAAACGCATTCATGTTATTTTTTAACGAAGACGTACGAAGCGTTAACGATGCAAAATATAGTCGCACCTTTTATCCGCAATACGACCTATTTCGTATAGAAATATGCACTGTTATTTTTACTTAAGGTATTTAGAAACGAAACGAAACGCGTCATCGCGAGTTTTGCTTTACTAAGTCCCGTAAAAAATTTTTATTCTTTAACAAGTGTTAATTGTAAGAAACGTTGATATTAATTTACATACTAACGCGAGGTTTCCTTGAAATAGAAAACATGAAATCATAACGGGGAAAAACGTACGAAGATTGGTAAACCAGGAATCCCGCGAGGACAACAAGATGCGTCAATAAATGAACCAGAATAATTAAACTAGTTAACGACATCTGCGCAAACTGATCGAGTATACGATCGGCAGGTGCGATTCATATTATATTTTTTCATCTATTTTAAGAGTAATAAATATGTTCAAGACGTTACATTCGTAGTTCAATGATCTCGATCGTTTCTTTGAGTACGGTAAACAATCGTAATGAAATCGATTGCACGGCTTTAAAGTTCCGGGATCAATTTGTACTTCGAATCGCGCTCGTGTTCAACACTGTGGAATAAATATTACAAGGTGAATGGCCATTGCTCCACAATGTAGTGCTAATGTCGCAATCAAATAAAGGTTACTGATAACAATCAAGTTGACGTATTCTTGATAAACGCGTGTCTGCGCTCAGTATTAAAAACTTACGAAACTGGAACGTGTGTAGGTTAAGGACATTCGATCGCAATTTGTTTCTATTTTCAATAAACACGTAATCTATTATCAGACAAAGATTAATATTAGCGTAAACTATCGTTGTTAATTGGATGAATCAAAACCACGGATGAAGGAAATTCTGTAAATAGTTGAATGACATTATTTGTCACAGAATACTCGTACGAATGTAGCAGGTACCTACGTTCGAATCAACAGGAAAATGTTTGATAAAAACAATATGAAACATGTTATTATATTAACAAGCTGGACCGATGTAAATTTTTCAATCATACCATCAATCAACACGTAAGGTGTACTTTAATTAGATATATTCTAGTCAGTCGCGTTGAGTAACTTTCGTTACTGTTGAATCACATCCTCAGGATCACCAATGATTCCCCGCTTTTTACAAGTCTGTCAATCTTACTGAAATTTTATCTTGAAAAACGAGGCACGTTCGTCTTACGTAACGAAAACACGAATCTCTCAAATTACTATTGATTCATCACAATTACGAACTGTTGAGATTACGGGAAAAATATGAATTATTCACGGATCATTATCGTTATAAATTATGTAATTTAACGAAAGGCGTCTGGCCACTTTCTCTACATCCGTTTAACTTGGAACCTCGAGATTCGGCTTCATGGACCGCACCATTCTCATTCTTTGAGTACGTGGCCTTCGAGGAGCACCACGATCGCGACTCGGTAGCGGGAAAAGGATCAACGTAACGAGCAAATACGGGGAACCGGCAATAAAAATCGAGAGAACTGCAAACCTGTTCGCCTGTGTTCCTTATCCACCCCCACCCGACGAGTTGTTTTAGATAAGCACCGGCAAGAATATATACTTCTTCGTAGATCGTGGAGAGAAATTGTGCATTCCGGACGTACCTGTCGTCCTGTCTCGTTTCTTCGACGAAACGGTGCCGACGATCAAAAATGTCACCCCAACGGTCGGTGGTGTTTCTCGCCCTCTTGTTCGTTACCGTGGTCAACTGTGATTTGGATATACAAATGTTGCACGTGGTAAATCGAATTCTTCCCCGATTCAGATAACATTTTCAACGAGAATTCCGAGCAAGTCGCGTCGCAAAAAGTGAACGAAGATCGTCGTTGAGTGATATTAATAGTTTAATGTGTTTTTAAAGGTATTTCGACACGGTGAGAAAGTGCCACAACGGGAATATCAAAATTATCCCAACGATCCCTACAAGGATTACACGTATCAGTCGTTGGGCGATGGTGACTTAACAAACGTAAGTAAAATCAATTAACTCGCTCGTTCATCCGATACAACCGGGTGCTAAATCTCAGTTTCGAACGTTCCGATTTTATAAACGAAATTCTCTTCTCCGACCCAATGATTCGAAATAAAATAAAATTTACACCCACTGATATTATAATTCGTTGGCTCGTTCCTTTCGAATTGTTCGTTTTTGCGCGGAACGCGACAACAAAGACGCCCTGAAGCAATTACGAGGCGATTAACGATATGCATCGACAAACATAAATGGTAATTGTTTCATGCTCCTATGCAGCAAGGTAAGCTGCGGGAATACAGGATCGGCACAATGCTTCGTGAACGTTACGATGGATATTTCGGGCCAGATTATTGGCCAGAGAAGATCTACGCTCGATCAACGGAAGTCCCAAGGACTCAGCTGTCTCTGCAGCTAGTTTTGGCTGGATTATTCCCGCCCTCGGTGAAGCAAACTTGGAATCCGCGTCTACCCTGGATTCCTACGTCGACGTTCTTCGTACCCTCCGAAGCTGACAATCTCTTGTTTCCGCATCACTGTCCCAGGTAATTGTTTCAATGCTCTCGATCATTAACGAAACAATGCGAAACACTCGCGAAGAACGCGAGAAAAGTAAACGGTTTACGTGCAAGATAAAAATATTCGAGAAGTTCATTTGGAGTTTGAGAATGCGTTTCTAGAAGCATCGACTTCAAATGTTGCACGAAGAGCTGATTTGCATGATCGTATCGAATCTCAGACGTATCGGAGCGCTCTAATTTACATTCGAAATAGTCAAGTTTGTTCGAATAAGACAGCAACAAAAATTATAATGCGTAGAATAACGGATATGAATTTAGAAATAATTTAAGAAGTTCGGGGAATGGTGATATAAATTTGAAAAATGAAAGACGAAACGTAAGGTCAATCGAGATTAATGAAAGTGATAGATTCGCGTAAACTGAAAATAACCCATGATTCACGACGCGAGATATAAGAAGGATATTAAGCATTTTGTAGAAACCGGTTTCCTTGTAGTACGACTTTGAGTTATATTACTGAACTGTATCTCGTATCTTGAATATATAATACGAAAGAATTAAGAACACCCAACTTCGAAGAATTTTCATTATCGATTCTATATTAAAACGTCTCGGTGATCCTTTTTCGGAGCAACTGCTGACAAGAAATAAAACATTAATTATTTATAAAGAGGAGATCCAAGATAGCGACCTTGAAGTATCTTTACTATAAAATCCTATTAGGCAATCGTTCGATAAATATAGAAAAAAGATCGAAGGTAGTAATAATAAAAATTTATATTATTTTCCTTCAAAGGTACGTAGAAGAATACAAGAAATTTCTGAAACAACAGAGCGCGCAGAATATACTGAAGAAGTACAAACCCGTGATGAATTACTTAACCGAGAACAGTGGGAAAGTAATAAACACAACATCAGCGGTGACTTATCTGTACAACTTGCTGAAAGAAGAGGTGAAGCTACTTGCCAATAACCCACGAACCTTGAGTTTCAACACTTTAATAATTAAACGTTATGGATTTTAGGCCTCCCAGAACCTGGTTCTTCCAAAGTGGACCGAATCTGTCTACCCCACTCCTATGAAAGAAATACTTGCTCTGGACTTTAAACTGAGATCGTACACAAGGACGTTGAAACGCTTAAACGGAGGTACGAGAACATTCGTTTTTTCTTTTTACAAAAAAAAATACATTTTGCATTCGCAATGTCACGGTAACGGAATTATAATTTGCTTGTTCTGCAGGTTTGCTGTTACGTAAAATGGTAGACGACATCGAAACGTACAAGGCGGGCAAATTAGTGCCGTACGATAGGAAAGCGTTTTTCTTCTCCGCCCACGAGATGAACGTTGCTGCTGTCGCGAGAGCTTTGGATTTGGACGAACCTGTTATACCTGCATACGGGTCTACCATAATCTTAGAGACTCTGCGCGATAAGAAAGGCACATATTACGTTCGAGTAAGTGTTTAATTTAGAGCAGAAGCCTCGTTCGATGTTTAAAACGCGTACTGATGCACGATTTGATGTCAGGTTATGTATTGGAGCGGAGTGTCCGAACAGCTGACGGTTAAAACCATTCCTGGTTGCACGGAGCTATGTCCTTTCGACCAGTTCCTCGTCATCGTGAGCGACGTGATGCCCAGCGACGATGAATATTATTGCCATCCTACTCAAACAATGAACGAGTCGAGGCACGTTAGAAAAGATGAGAGAATATGCTCCTCAGCGTCGACCGTAGCCCTGGGCAACACTTGGTTCTACCTACTGTCGCTTGTCTCTCTATCGCTACTTCTGTCTGCAATATCGATCACTGACTTTAAAGCGTCGTAGAGAAGAGCGTAATGATATTGCGGCCGTTTATACGTTTCGATAAAATGGTTTTTGATGTACCGGTAAAGTCGATACAAACTTCGAATCTCGATAGAATGGCGAAACCGTTAAATAACGTTTGCAAAACTGTTTGAATACTCGTGCGACGTAATCAACATTTGACTAATTTTATTCACGAACGACGAGGAGAAATCTCGAGTCGTTGTTCGCGATTAAAATTTCCCTCTAGCCGTAGTGAACGAAAAATTTCGTAGACGAAATACGTGGCCATAGTAACGTAAGTATAGGACTAATTAGTAACGTAGGACTTTGGCATTAGTATAGTAGATACACCTAAAAGTATTAGAATAAACGATCGCGATATTAATATAATCTCTAGTCAAAAGTATCAACTATAGTCGCGCGGTTCTTCGATCTTTATTCATTACGAGTTACGAAAGTTACTGATTGTATGCGTGTATGAAAGCCTTTTCGAACGAGGATGGCTCAAGTAGAAGTTGGAAAATTTAATTACGTTTATATTATCTCTATTCCTTGCAACCAACTAAAGTTTAAGAATTCACTTCTCAACAATATGGTGAAACGCTTCGAGTGATTATCGTAGAAGGAAAATGTAATACATAATAAGATTCAAAGAAACAAGAGATTTCGGTCCACGAACTTTTTGTTATAAGTACTGTGAAATTTCAGTGAAATGTAACCGAGTTTGAAACAATGCGCCAACTAAAAGAGTAACCCAACGATCGTGGCCATGCCAATATCCCCGTGAGCGAATAAAGCGCCGTGTTTGGCAGTCACGAAATCGGAGCAAATTCGATTTGCAAGTTGACGGATTGATTCTCCTATTTCCGTCCAGGTTAAAGGTTCAAGAACCTCAATAGAATCGAAATAGCCGAATGTTTATCGATCCAGAGCGATATTTTTCTACGGAGTTATCGATTCGACGAGACCAGTCGAGGTATAAAAATATGAATCTCGGTTCTCACCTCAAAATAAAATGGATATTAAATTTAATGAAAATGTGATTGCCCACTTTTACGGAAGATCATTTCTACTAAGAATATTATTGTCTATGTACTTCTTTCGAGATGTTGTTTAATCCGACTGTAATTATGTTTCCAAGGATAATTACTTATTGTTTATACAGGGTGTTCGGTCAACCCTGGGAAAAATTTTAATGGCGGATTCTAGAGGTCAAAATACGACGAAAATCAAGGATACTAATTTGTTGATTCAAGCTTCGTTAAAAAGTTATAGAAACATTTCTGACCACGCAGTATATTTTCGGTAAAGAATTTTTTTATCGAAAGTGCGTAGGATTTCGCGGGTATGTGTATTCACCAAAAATGATTGTAATTGACCCCTGCAGTCAAAAATAATTTTTTTAGAACAATTTGAAATTTTTTATTTTTGCCGATAAAGTCCACCTATTCGAATTTTTTTTTCGAAAGTGCGTAGGAATTCGGGGATATGTGTATTCACCAAAAATGATTGTAATTGAACCCCGCAACCAAAAATAATTTTTTTAGAACAATTTGAAATTTTTTAATTTTGCCGATAAAGTCCACCTATTCGAATTTTTTTTCGAAAGTGCGTAGGAATTCAGGGGTATGTCTCTTGACCAAAAATGATTGTAATTGACCCCCGCAACCAAAAATAATTTTTTTAGAACGATTAGAAATTTTTTAATAACTTTTTAACGAAACCCCAATCAACAAGTTAATATTCATAATTTTCGTCTTATTTTGGCTTCAAGAGTGTTCCATTAAAATTTTCCCCAGGGGTGGCCGAACATCCTGTATAGAGCATGTGTAATTCTAGCAGCAACGAGGTTCAAGCAATCTGTGCACCAATTTGCACAGAATAACATGTGCACGCGTGCGATGTAAGGCTCGATGGTGAATCGAATCGCTCGAGCGTAAGTTTTGAACGACTTTTTAACGAGCGATGTTCCTTCAGTTAATCCCTCGCATCAAGATCGCAATTATTTTCATATTTACACGAAGAACAGAACAGTAACCAGCAACCAATGTAATCAGACATAAATACGCGCGTGTTTCACCATATGGAAATCAAGCTTTCATCGAACAATTTTTACAAATTAATTAAATTGATGCTCGGGACTGCCTCTAGCGTGGCGTTTACGCAATTTTCCACTTTTAATAATTCGAAAACGTTGTTCGTTTTGCGTCGCGCGCGCGTTTAGGTTTCACGAAGTCCAATAGCGCCGCGGAGAAACGCTGGAAACTTCCAGAGGGTTTGTTAAAGGAAATTTCGAAATTACTCATAATGGGAGACGAGTTCAAACGTCTGACGCACGTGCACGTCCTGCTACAATCTACCTACAGAGTGTTGCATGCATTCTCGCGAAAGCATCGCCGTGACTAAGGAGCATTTTGACATTCAACGACGCGAAATAACTCGCGAATGTATCGCAAACGCACAGTAATATAATCTACAGATACACGGTGCGCTATGTTGTTTAGCATTCTGCCAGGGTTTCTAAATTGACACGTTTATCTAACATCAATATTTTCTTTCGATCGCGTGGAATGCAAATGTTGTTAACAAGGTTGATGAAACGACCGAATTCTTGATACAAATTTGACAGACTGTTTTATAAAATACAATTTATGGTAATTAATCGCGCGAATAAAGATCGCACCGATGAGCATCGATGCGTGTAATTTAGCATAAAAAGAGATTCATCCCGAGAGCACGATGGGAGAACGTGTGGGAATTCATCGAACGACAACGCAGACAATGATTCTTCAAGGCGAGGGTTTCCCAATAGGCATGTGATTATTTAAAAGACAGACCAAGATAATCAATAGACGGATAAGTACCACGAAGAAATTCTCGAGTCGCACTGCGTGAATTCCGACCTTGCATACCTTCATAGCGTCGTTCATCGGAACGCGTTTATAATTTCGTGGTAGTATCGCATTATAGCACAGTATAATTGGACCTCTCTAAGTAGAAAGCATCTATAAATTGAAGCTTCGTAAATCCTCGACTCAAACGACGAACAGATCTAATACCATTTCAAAGTATTTATAAAAGATTAGAACATTCTAACTGTTTCTAAACCCTCGAAATTGGTAAATAACCGTCGTGATGTTATTACAAACCTACTAAAAAATCCTGAAAGTTACAGTAAAAAGAAAAGCAATGACTACGTGCTTCAGCGATCGTGGCGTGCATGCAATATTAAGAGTTGAGAGAAATTCTACTTTCACAGCACGGCAAATTGCACACGAAGCTGGAGCATCTATACGGGTGGAAAACGTACAATGCGTTTTGCAAAAGTCTAAACACACGCGAGGTAAAAGACTTGAAAGAAAACCATTAGCAACAAAGGAATCGAAGATCGAATGACGTTTACTCGTGAGAGTACTTTGCACGAAGAAAGAAAGGGCTGTTTATTTCTACGAAATGAATTTTCATTCGTCGTATTTTTCCCTTTTTATACAAATCCGGAAATCCTCCACTTTTCTTATCAAGAGAACCTGTAATCGTTTTTCAGCACCGTACACTAAGAACCTTAATCCAATTGCGCCTTTATCTGCGTGAATACAACGTTGCACCAGTTTCTACCCTGCGCAACCGACTCGCGAATAAATAGTTTACATTCGTTTCGAATTTTTCGTTAAAGTTTCCGTTCATATCTCGAGCTCGGAGCAAACGGTATATCGTTTTTCTCTAGGATTTATGACGGAGTCGTCCTTGTTGCGCGCAAAGAAGGTCAAGGTAGATCTCGCTGGATTTACGGTAAAACCACACGCCCCGGCAATTAGAAGAAACGCGTATAAGCAAAAGTGTTTTTGACATCATTACGTAATTAAAAGGAGACTGTCGTTTTCGTGGGAGAAGCCTATTGCGTCCGCGCAAGAGGAACAAGAAAGAGAAATGAGGCGAAATTGAAAAGGATACCGTGAAAGAGAGGAACACAGCCAACCTTGTTGCAATCATTGAAATGAATGACACGGGAAAGAGTATTGTTCGAGTTTTACGACCAACTCTGAGCGCAAACCCACGCGTAGGTACACCTCTACATCTTTCGATGTTCAGTTGCGCGCTGGAATGCATTTTTTTCCTACGTATAAAAACTAATTACGACTCGTTTACATCGTGCATAACCTTCGATTTTTTTGCAATTATTAGCTTCTTTCGATACCAGTCGCAATGAATTTAAAACACACTTCGCAACGTAGTTTCTAACCAAAATTAATTGTTTCCTACAGAACCTACTTTTTTTATTTTAACGTCTGGCATTTCTTTTCAACACCTGTTATAGCATTATTTTCGTACCTACGTTCATTTTCATTTTTTTCCTTCGAAATAGAAAACTATGAGAGCGAGCTGTAAAAACGTCCGAAGAATTTTAGAAAAATCCAGATACAATGGACGCGTTACCAGGGAGAAAATTCCTACTCGTCGATATTAATCGTGAAAAAAAGCGAGAAAACACAAATAACAACAACAAATATTTAGAAGTTTGGGAAAAAGTTTTAAACGTCGATGAAAATAAACTCGATGCTTTAGGTTTCGAGGGGAAAGTTTTGAGGAAAGGTAGCACCAGCGTGAGAATTAAAAAATATGACTTCAACCGTAAAACATGAAGATGGATCGGTAATGATTTAAGGATCAATCGCAGCAGCTGGTGCAGGAAGTTTAGTTTTTATAAGCGTTATCATAAATCGGTGAATATATTTAGAAATATTGAAAAAGCCATTTGGAAGATCCGGAATTTTCCAATTTCTTCTTTTTGATCAAAAATTATTAGACTGCTAGAATATGTTAACTTTTTTCGACCGAGAGGTCCTGTACTGGACGCCTGTTCAAATACCTTGTTGTCCCGAACTTTTGTTTGGTAGCCTAAATGGTGAAACCGCGTCTGCAGGGTGCGTACAAGTGCATTATCAACACTAACTCCAACTACGTTCAACCGGTTAATGCATTTTGTGTGTTTTAGTGAAATAGCTCGTTAATCTATTTCTAAATTGTAAATGTCTTAAATAACGTCACGGAAAGAATTTCACCGAAACGTCAATATTCCACAATGCCTAATAATACATTCGCGTGAACGTATCGTATTTTTACCGATACGATCTTGTAAAAATGTTGCGTTATAAATGTTGCACGCTGCTCTATCGACGCATCACTGAAATATCGAATCGATTATCGGCCTGTTATTATTATAATTTCTCATCGCTACTTAAGGCACGATTCGATCGAGCGCCGACGCCACAGAAGCGTAGATAATTGCAAAGCGTAAATTGGAACGTGTGATGGGGATGTCAGCGATGCCTATTATAGTGATAAGTATCGCGAAACGCGTCGTGATGTATTCTCAAAAGGCAAGTGGGAACGAACGAATAAAATAACCTCCAGACTTAGGAAACCTTGTCGCGACGAAACTAAATAAAGATTTTTCGATTGCCGAATCTCGACCAAAATATGTATATACTTCTACAGATTAGTAACTGTGTTCCTTAGGGATTTTTTGTTTCTCGAGATTTAGAAATTCTCGAATTCTTCCGAAGTCTACGAAACACAATCAGATCATATACCCGCATATAATGAATGTTTATTATTTAAAAAAGTATGATAATATCTCTGTATTCAATTAGAGGATCGACTATTCGAATGATTTTATCATCACTAACAAGCATAGTGAAGTTAATGATACTTAATACGCTAGCGGTTGAAACACAATATTTACTGTTAAGTTGAGATATTTATCTCGTACACTATTGGCCAGCTGCGCCAACAGCCGCGCGCGTATCAAATATTTTCCGGTTTTCTATTCACGAATAAGTCATCGAAATTCTATAATTTCGATAATTCTTAATATTTACAAATTCCTTTTTAGGCCTTACCGCCTTAAATTTGAAAAGAAATACGATTTTCAATTGGTTGCTAAATAACGTTCGCGCTTTCGAATTTTCCATTCATTGAATATCCGTGTGAGGTTCTGTATCTATTTGAAATAATCTGACTTGAGCGTAAGGTTGCGTAAATGTGACTCAGGCTCGTGCCTTCAAAGTATTATGACACATTTTATATAACACGTTCGCGTATAAATTGCACACAACAAATACAAACACGCCGTACACAGGCGCAAATCCGTGAGGATTGAAAATGACCATAGCGAACGAGATTCGAACAAAATGACGCGTCACACTGGCGCGCGAATGTGGAATAAATATGGATGAAACTCACCTATTTTTCCTTCGCCATCGTCCCAGGATGATTCCTCCTGTTTTTCTGTTCGCCGCGGCAGACTCCTCGCAAAGACACTTTAAACGCTCCTTTCGCACCTGTCCCCTGCAACGGATCACAATCGAATTTCAACGATTCTGTTGTCGGTCGATCATGTAGATTCGATTTCACGTTTTATCGTTCGATTTTGTAACGGTCGCCATTTAACGGTTAATTCGTTTTTATTCATGTTTGTCAAACGTCTTGTTAATACGTATTATTTATATTCATAAACGTATCGTTCGTGTAACACTGTTTATTATCACGGTTTACTATACTATAAGGAAATATCAGGTGAAAACAGTCCGGGGCTAGTTCTTTCGTTTACTATTAACTCGTATTTTCAACGAAAAATGGAGACTTTGTAATTTCACTGGACACATGGCACAAAGCGTATAACCGTTGTACAATAAACCGTGGGTATACGATGTCAGCTGTCAGAAAAAATATAGCTACTTGGCAATATACCGGACAGCTACAAGCAAGTGCACGTTGCCAGGTTGAATCTGCTGTCACGCCTCGGGCTTCTCCGGTGCATCGTGAGCAGGTGCCAGGTAAGGGGTTAGAAAAGTCGGTGCCCTCAGCATAGTTTCCTCTTCGACCAATTGAATCCAGCGTTGTTTCTTAACTGATTTCACTAGTTTTACTTCAAATTTCAGACACCGAACATCTACCAGTTTGATTACGTCGCCATTGCCCTGTAGCGAATAACATACAACTTTATTGCCCTCTATGGTCGTTTTGTAACAGTACGCATTAGCTTAATTTTTCATAAATGTTGAAATTAAAAGATTTTCCTAAAATATATTTAATCTGTTTGTGAGTTTCTAACTTGTATACTCGTAGATACTACAAATATTAAATACGAGAAGAGTAAGTTCAATCTCACGTAGTAAAAATAACCGCCAAAATTTTGGCGACCCAAGCCGGTGCCTACTTAACCATAAATATAACCATAAGCGTACCTTGTGCTGTGTTTACAGCCACATCAGTTATGACAATACGAAGTTTCATTCGTTTTCTTTCTTCTGATTCACCAATTTTAATCATTTTATTAACTAGAGACGAAGCTGCGACTACTGCCGCCAGTTTTCAAGTTCAACTAATTAACACCGCGCTCTCACAAATGGCGGACAATGAAACAGCTGTTTAAGCGAACACGAGGACATCTAACGGAACGCGCGCGTAATCGAGCCCGCAACGACAGAGAAGAATGGGAGACGAGTGGGTCGAGGACCGATCGTGTCCACAGTAGCCGCGTCCGTCGTGAGAGTCGATGAAGAAAACATGGCTGCAGGTTGTTGTGGAACGAAAAAGCAAAAGCTTAATAATTCATCGAGTGTTCCATGTAATGGCTCGATATTACAGAATGGCACACAGTTGAGGAATGGTGTGATAGTGAAACCCGAGATGGGCTTCTTTTGCTTCGATGTCCTCTATTGTCAATTACATCAGCTTGACCCTCCAAAATCGCCCAGCTTCAGTAATGAAGCCTTGTGAGTAATAATACTTACTGATATCGCCGTACGCTTTTGACCTCTCTTGTTCCTTCTTTCGCATCGCTGTCTCCCTCTTTCCTATATTGCCATCTTTCTCTTGCATGCTCGCGCCATCAGCTGCTCTCTTCTATCTGAATGTTTTAACTCGGGTGCCTTCACCCCTCCTATAGTTTCTTTGTTACGATGTTTGATGCTTTATGTGTCATATTCTAGAACAAGACAAAGGCTAATTTTTATTACAAGTGTATGTTAACGTTCAAACCTTTCTTTTTTGTTATATTTAAATTACTTAGTAACGTACGATCTTTTATTTATATTTAGATTTTTCTTTTGGGCAACACTTAAAAATGTTTCCTTAGCACAAAAATCAAGAACAATTTTATAATATCAAGATCACTTATGTTCTACATTTATTATTTTTCAAAAAATATTAAATATACAGCTGGATGTTATCGAGAGAATACAATTTTTTTGAAACATTATTCTTACTGTTATTGTGCTAAGACCATTATATTATAACTGAATATATTATTTCTATTTATAACGTTAAATAAACAATAAACAGCCATTTCATATTTTTCAGCCCATTATTTGTAACATGGACTACTGGTAAAGATATGAGGCTAAGGGGCTGTATTGGTACATTCAATGCGATGCAATTACATGCTGGTCTTCGAGAATATGCGGCAACCAGGTAAGATTAGTTTAAATTTGTTTTAAGTAATATCATTGATCTATATATTTAAAGACATTAGACACTTTTCAAAGTGCGTTCAAAGATTCACGTTTTAATCCTATAACACGGGAAGAACTTCCACGCTTACATGTAAGCGTTTCAATTTTGAGACACTTTGAGGATGGTGTCGATTATTTAGATTGGGAAGTGGGTGTTCATGGAATTCGTATAGAATTTCACAATGAAAAGGGTAACAAACGGACTGCGACTTATTTACCTGATGTTGCAACAGAGCAAGGTTTGTATATTTTACTTTATTTAATTTTATTTATTTAATGGAATAATGTACATAATTTTTTACGAAGTGGAAAAATATTATTGAAAAATTTGAAGCTTATTAAAAAGAAAACTATTTTACAAACATAAAATTTTGTTCAAACAATTAAGATTATCATGAATGGATCATTTACCAAAGAGTATTGATCTTTTTAGGTAGTAAAATTAGATTAAATAAAGTCATAGATAGTGACAATTTTGAAAAGTGTAATTTATCATGTTTAGGGTGGGACCAGATACAAACAATAGACTCACTACTACATAAAGGTGGTTATAAGGGACTGGTCACTCCAGATATTCGGCGTAGTGTGAAATTAACACGATATCAGAGTGAAAAAATTACTGTAAGCTATCAGGAATATATGTCACATTGGCATACTCGAAGATGCTAGCAGCTGGCCTGGGGTCCTAGTCAAGGACCCCAATTATCTCAAAATTCTATTGCAGTTCACTATAACACTGACACCTCTCATACTTCTCATTTACCATATAATAGTACTCAATATAACTCTTACATGGCCAGTCAAGAACACGGGTTAGTGATGACACAGCGCAATCATCCTACATCTTTTATACATCCCCTTCCAATGCCCCCTGTTTCACCTGTTATGGTGCCAATATGGGATTATTCCTCATTTTGGTGGGATCAAGCAGGTCAATCCTATTCTCATTTACATCCCCACATGCATCCTCCTCCTTGTGTTCATCGCTTTTCATCCCAAGAATGTGCGGAACGTGGAATTCGTAAACGCAAATGACATTGGAGGCGGTTGTTGTTTGCAATTTTTCATTGTTTGAAGTGGTGCCTATTATACTTTGTATGTTTATGCATACACAGTTTTCCCCTTATGATACAGCAGAGTTGTCCTTGAAAATAATAAAATTTTATGTATGATGGCACTGTCTTATTTCTCTAATAATTTTCACATGGTACATAAACCAAATTATTAGTTACCTAATAATTGGTATAGATAATTATAAAATATAATAAAAATTGCATTAACTTTTAACTTCAATATTAATAATCATTAATCAGACTACATGTCGAGTACTCAGATTTTTAAACTTATACTAAAATTTAATTACTTTGTCTCGCATGCTTTCATGCGTTTGTAACTTACATGACGCTATTCAATCAACAAACGGAATAAAAATATAAACTTAGCTCTGCCATCATACTTATCACATGTCCATTTACATTTATGTCTGCAGTATACGAGTGACATAAACATAAACAGTGATGCTGCCTGCAATTCACTGCCTGCTTAATAAGGTTTAATGTACAAATTCATGCGAAAATATGTTTGTATTATTCGTATACTACGAAGAACATATAATATCAGTCTTAGGTCTATACATAAACTAGGGGTGTGTGGGATTCTGATTAAGACGAGAATATTTTTCGGGGTCAGGGCAGGATCTCGAGAATGTTCGGAATTTCCAAAAATACTGCAACGCCTGATAGTTTTCGATTTTTAGATATACATATCGTGATAATCGAAAAAGCTTATGTTACTAATATTGTAGAAAGGATTGAAAATTTCAAGAATACTGGTACATATTTCCGAATAGATAGTTAATTTTGTACACTTTTGGGAAACCTGGATATTTTTGGAATCCCGAACACACGAGTTTTTTTCGGGATCGTGCATACCTCTACATGTATATAAATAAATAAATGAAGGGTGAAAAAACACAGATTTTCTATTAATAGTGTTTCCTTCTATTAATGTTCTGTTAATTTATGTATAGCATAAAGTTACTAATTACAGCATAATTTTTGTATAATTACATATTTTTATGACAAGTTATGAAGGGTTTGCATACAAAATTGCATTAGTATGGATTAAGTAATTAGTCAAAATAATATGCTTTATTCCTTCAAGAAAATTAGAAATGAAGAACGTTTTTCGGTCTTTCTTATTGTTGTTCTTTTATATGTGATGATTGATCCATAAATAGTAATAAATATAGTAATTTTAAACTTATTAATTGAAATTCCTTTGTACTAATGGTATAAATAAAAGATTTGTATTGCATTATGTGCAAGTAGTTATATATATATGTATTATATTTATTCATCTGGGTTTGCGAAGGTGTAATCCGCAAGAGTGGCTATCTCATAGATTTCGTCGTAATTCTATTTTGTTTTTTTTTTTTTTTTTATACCATTGTTACATTGAAATTTATTTTCATAATTATAGTTATATTATAGTCCAGCATTGTATTATAGCAAAGAATTTACACCAATGAAGGAGTCAGTACATAAACATCATGTAGTTTTTTATATAAAATACTAACAACTAAAATTTACTACAATTAATTAAATTCAATTGGCATTTAAAATTTATAGTTTAATAATTGGTTTTTTGACAAGTATTTGATTTTTCTATATATTACAAAATTGTATTTTAATTTATAAATTTAAAAAATGTTGTCAATGTGATAAAGAAATGTATAGAATGGAACCTTTACTGTATATAAGCAATGGACTGCATTATGACTATTAGAATGCATTAATAATAGTTGTAATATAGTTGTAAGATAAAATGTGACGATCTCATTGTGATTCTTATTATTCTCTTATTCACAAATCATGAATAGAATCGTTATTGCTTTATGTAATGTGCTTATCCCATTACTCTATTTTTACTTAAAGCAAGGCACAATTATGACATTAGAACAAGTCAATGAAATACATATATTTTGTAACTTTCAAGACAATGCAAGAAATGTTCTTCCATGTGTTAATGCCTTTGCTTTTATTATTCCTTCACTTTCACTTAGCAAATTTCATACACTGCCAATTAATTCATTGCTGTTTTTATCATAGCAAGAATACTTGGTGAAAGTAAAGAGAAATTAGTAAATTTTTTTAATTAATGGTTTGTATTTAATGCCATTAAACATATTCTATTATTTGTGTAGTTTATTTCTAGAACCTAATTATGTATTCAGCATTATATAATATCCAGTTAACTGCCAATTACATACTTAACTATAGAGCATTCAGTACTTACAAAATAATTGTATGTGCTTGATTTGTAACAGAATTCGGTAGTTTCGTTATTAAAATAAATTGTATATTCTGTATTGATAACTTTGATATTAGCAATTATGGATGATAATTAGCAATTTACTAAAAAAACAAATTTGCACATACAATTTGAATAGCTATTCATTGTTGATCATAAATAAGTTTGATTATATTTTACAAATCATTATAAAAAGAGATCCTTTGATGTTTATGTTGAATTTATGATTGCGTATCAGTGTAGAATATTGTAAAGCATACAATGTTACATAAAACATATAAGTCTATTCTTTTCAAATGCAATAAATTTTTCATATGCAGATAATTGAAATTATTCTTCATATATTCTTAATTCAACTGTGTTACTTAAAATTAAATAGAGATGTACAAATAATTAATATAAAAATGTTTATGATTATACAAAGAAAAATTTAACATTCTAACTTGGAATGTGAAATATTTTTAATGTTTCCACATATAAAAATGCATTGTGCCTGGTATCACATTTGCATTTAATAGTTTAAAACGAATTTTTACCTATGTGGATTCATACGAAATAGAAAATCCAAGATCGTAAAAATATAAGAAACCGTGCTACTAACTTATTATATAGTTAGGATTGATGAATAAAGATTTTATATTATCAAGTCGATTGTTTTTATATTCCCGTCTCTATGAACATTTCTATGATATTAAATAATGCTTCTTTATGGAATAACACAATAATTATTCGATATTTTAGTAATTAAGTAATCGTTGCGTTTCAGATTATATACAGTGTTATCATGATACTATAATTGTAAGGCATTATTAATGATTGTATTTTAACGATTTGTTACCATTACGGAAAATTGAAAAATTGATGAATTAATCAATTAATCAATTAATATCCGATGAATTACAAATTTGTCTAAAGTTTTCAAATAAAATGCAAAACTTGAAGGAATTTGAATTTTCATTCGTAATAGTAAACTCGTTAGAAAAATGGCGGGCAATAAAATGGCTGCTTCTCAAACGACAAAAGTAAAGAGCTTCAAATGTGGGAAAATGTCACCTACGTATCTCCAGGCTCCAGGAAAGGGACTCGGTAGGATGAATGAATGGATGAATGAATGCGTCCAGCGTAACGGTAACAAAGGAGCTGCTTATTGGAAAATAACTGGGACGTGTGGACACCTCTGCAAACTATGAGACTAGAATAAGGCTCGCCATGCGGCTTCACGCCGAGCGGAACATGGCCGCTTCCCCCACTCTCGCAGCTAGAGTGAGAGGGAAGACTGCTGTCTACACAAACCCTTCAAGCAAGACACCTAGCGGAACGCGCGCACAATTTAGTATGCAATAGTAACGGTGAACGAGAGATGAACAGTTCGGAAATCACTCGTGTGCGCCGTAGTTGCAGAGGTTGAATAAGAAAACATGGCAGCTGGTTGTTGCGGAACGAAAAAGCAGAAGCTAAACAACTCTTCCAGTGTTCCGTGCAACGGTGCCGTGAGTTTACAGAATGGCATTCGTATACGGAACTCCATAATAGTACAGCCTGAGATGGGCTTTTATTGTTTCGATGTTCTTTACTGCCAACTGCACCAAATAGATCCACCAAAACCGCCCAACTTCAGCAACGAAGCATAGTGAGTATCTTCCACTGATGTCGCTTCACATCTCTTGCTTTCATCTTCCATTCTTTGTAGAGTTTTGTTTTTCTTTGCTCGTATCCTTGAATGTGTAGTGTTTAATATTATGTTTTTGGTCGTCTTTCTATCTCCAATATTTCCAAGTTCATTTGTTACTAATATCTGTATTTTGTGTATATAATTTTAATTAAAGGTCACAAGTTTTCCCTTGCGAATATAGAATTTAAAATAATCCACAATTTTGTGATATGATCGAACTATGTATACGAAGAACTCGCATTAAATTTTAAAATAATTGAATCACTGCAAATATCTCTTACTTTAATTACCTTACCATATATCCTAATAAACCGTTAGATTTTTAGGTCAATTACTGTATCTTAAGTATCTCGGTACATACATGTTTATTTGTATTTTAGATATTAAATAGAAATTCACAGTGCACATGCATACGCGATTCACATATCTCTTACATGCTACTTCAATTATAATTTCTAACTGTTGCATTTTTATGTGGCAAATGTCATACTTATTTATATACTTTTTATTTCAAAGCAAATTTTGAATTGTCAGATTAATATCAAATTACTAGAAGTATTGATACATTAACAAATCTAATAACATTATCATATTATCTATATGCTAATGTAATATTTACATTCAACTTTGAAGCCCATTATTTGTAACATGGACTATTGGCAAAGATATGAGATTACGAGGCTGCATTGGCACATTTAATGCAATGCATTTACATACAGGATTGCGGGAATATGCAGCCACTAGGTATTACTCAATATGTAGTTGAAGCAAATAGTATTTTGTTAAGAATTTTAAATGTATTGTATCTCATAGTGCTTTTAAGGACTCTCGATTTAATCCAATAACACGGGATGAACTACCACGTTTGCATGTCAGTGTTTCCATACTTCGACATTTTGAAGATGGAGCAGATTATTTAGATTGGGAAGTCGGAATTCACGGAATACGTATTGAGTTTCATAATGAGAAGGGCAATAAGCGGACTGCTACTTATTTACCAGATGTAGCAATGGAACAAGGTTTGCATATTACTTTCTTATAAGTCTAAAGGTCTTATTTTGAATTTCTTCATGAAATGAATAGGGATAATTGATTTGTATAATAACTCTGTCAAATTAGAAATTCCCATGTTTAGGGTGGGACCAGATACAAACAATAGATTCTTTGCTACATAAAGGTGGGTATAAAGGATTAGTAACTCCTGATATTAGACGCAGTGTAAAGTTAACTCGATACCAGAGTGAAAAAGTGACTGTAAGCTATCAGGATTATATGACTCATTGGCAAAGTCAAAGATGCTAGCAACTGCCAAGGGGTCCTAATAAAGGGCCCCTCTTTCTCTGCCAAATTGCTAGCAAAATTTATTATTTCAATGCTATTAGAGTTAATTCTTGTTTACAATATATTAATAAGATAATGGCCAGTCAACAAACATTACTTATGGTAAAATCTGATCACCTTTTTTTTGTTATATCTATTGGTTTTCTGATTAAATTATGTATGCAAAGTCGTCCATTTTTTTCAAGGGAACATTTCAGACTTTTTTTTCTGTTATTATATCATTATAATCACAGCCAATGTCTTCCTACAAAGAAACATGAATTTTGGAGTGCAATAATAACAATTATATTCGAGGGAATTGAACATAACCTCTTGTTATTTAAATTGGTGCCTATATATTCTCCATTTTTCATGTTCATCTAGATACTTTATAATATATTTTTTAATAAAGATAATAGAACCTCGGGTATAGTGACACTGTTCTTTCACAGCTATTATTTGCAAATAAAATATTAAGTATGTTAAGATTGTTATATGTATTAAATGCAGTTAAAAGATTTTATACAGTCTTGAATATGTATAGCAAAGTATAACAATACTCTGTGACATGTTAACTTAAAAGCATTGGAATTAATATTGTCTATTTAAATTAGCTGGTTATAATAAATTTTCAGCATGTAATGATTTTCTGTTGGTTGATTGAAAAATATGTATTGTACCCAATGGTGACGTCTTCGTTTATATTTGCAGCTTAGAAAGTTGCCATATATATAGTCACAATTGTAATTATAGGGCATTAGGGGTGTGCGAGAACACGAAATTTTTTCGGGATCAGAACGGATACTCGAAAGTTTCGAGATTCTCGAATTTTCGGGATTCTCGAAATATTCGGGAGTTCGACTTCCCGATTCGTCCCGACCATTGGGTTCTCGCACACCCCTATAGGGCACATATTAATTATTTAGAAAGCAATGATCTCATTAACAGTTTATTGTTATGATTTAAGTTATAAAAAAATCTTCTTGTAATTACAGTAATATTTAAGTTATATTTTAAAATGTATATACCAGGTATGCGAATGAAACTATAATTGTATGCTACAAAGAAGAATGTAATAATTTTCATACTTGGCAAAACTGGTATTATAAAACTTTTGTTCCAATCCATTGTCATTAGAAAAACGGAATTGGTGAGACTTAAAGTGTATATGGCTGAGGTGTGCTGGATTCTGAGAATGTTTGGGATCATTGAAAATTTTTTTATTTGCAGGCAGTTTGTGGTATTTAAATATGATATAAATTAAATAAAGTATATTTTTTTCTATACAAACATTTACTTATATAGTTATACATATGTCAGTTTATACTTATATGTGCAACCGTACGTATGCAACTATTTAACGAATTAATTATTCAGACGGTTTTATTTCATATTCTCGTCGATAGTCTTCAATTCGTAATAAAACATTTCGAACAGTTTCCATTGATAAAATTTGTTGGTTCGTTACTTGGCTAGCAATAACTGAATTTGCAATGAATAGGGTTGTAATATGAGTAACCCCTGGTTTAACAACACTCCACCAAAATTTCGAAAGTTCTCTTACTTCTGTAATGTGTGGTACCCTTAATCCTATACCTCCAGCAAGCTATATGATTATCAGAAAAAATGGATAAAGAATTACACCAAATATGAGAAATAGGGGTGCGCGACAACCCGAAATATCGGGCCGGGTCGAGTCGGGAACACGAAATTTTTTCGGGATCGGGATGGGTACCCGAAAGTTTCGAGATTCTCAAAATATTCGGGAGCTCGACCTTATCCCGATTCGTCCCGACAATCGGGTTCTCGCACACCCCTAATGAGAAACAATAAGTGTAGGAATAAAATGGTCTTACAGCAAGATTTAATGTAGGTGCCATAAGTAATGGATACACTATACCACAGAAATTTACAATTGAAGATGCTCTTGTTTCAAGGCATAATGGACATTTAAAACTATATAACATTATTTTTTTTTCAACCCACTGAAAAATAGAAATTATCTGTTAAATGTTATTCAATAATATTTCTGTATTAATTTTTAAAGGACATGAATTCATTTAATTGAAAGTTTATTATAGTCTATACATACCTCATTGTGAAGTACATTTGTAAGCAGGTATGAACTAGTTGTTAAACTCAACATTGAAAGTAGTCTGCCATGGTTACGTAATTTTAATTTACGTCTGAACATGCTATTGATAAATAAGCTGGATAGAGTAGCTGCTGATGAAATAATCGGACCTCCATATTTAAATGCTGACCTTATTACAAAAAGAATAATAATTGATCATAAAAGAAAAGGTTCTTCATATTATTTAATATTGTTTGTTGATACATACACCTCAGATTGTGGTTCCCACTTTCTGATTATCTTTTCTTGACATTCAACAGCATCGGATATTGGTATGTTTATAATATCACCCTTCTGTAAATCATCCCAGCTTCTTAGAGGTATTAATGCCATTTTATAATTTTATAAACAACAATGAAAGGTTATATGAAATACCATGTGTATATAAAATTTGCTAAACTATCATAGGACTTTTTGATATAGACATTAGAACCGTTATACAGATACAATTAAATTTACAAGTTGTTCTTAAACTATCAAGTTTCTGTTTTGTTATAACGTGCCAAATAAAATAAGACCTCAAAAATGCTTGTTATATTTCTATTTCAGATGCTACCGCAAGATGGCACGTTACAAGCCTCGACAGCTGGCGACGCGTGTTGGTGACGCATCAAAGTACAACTGTGAATTCTGATTAAGCCGTCGATATTTCCGTAATCTTGTTTATAAATATCAAATTAACATTAGAATTTACAACGACGTAAAAATACTATTCCCCGCAAGGCATTTCTTAGATAAAAATATCAATTTCAAGTATCACGGGTGACATTTTATTGACGTCTTAGGAAAATCGTAGACGAGCGCGTTCGTCGGTGTACTCGCGAGGGGTTGCTTTTACGGGGTAGCGCGTCACAAGGCGACCTGACGTCACACATGGTGCGATCGACCAATCGGAGGTGGCGTTCTCGCGACCAGTCAGTTTTCCGGCTGCTAGAGTAAGCGCGACGCCATATTGCCCGTGGCCGAGTGGTGGCGGCCTGTGTTTATATCCGTTTCGTTTTACCACGTTTCGACGGACCACCGGGAGGTCTCGCGAGTGACGTGTCGAGCCGTGTAGTACGTGCCCGTCTACGCCAACCGTGAAACAGGTCGCCGATTTGCGTGACAATAGTGTACCGTGCGCGATCGTGTAGTATCGAAGTGACACGCCGTGCTTTGTGCTACTCTCTTTCGCGTTTCTTCTTCCCTTCCGTAAAGTAGTGCCGTTACACGATAAACCCGTCGTCCACCCTCTGCCCCTGCACACTTTGTGCTCCGACGTACGTGCACATCAGGGATTTTATCCGTCGCCAAAGAGGATGCCAGTTCGTAAGCAAGGTGGTAAGCTCTCGTATTCTCTTAAAACAAAAGCCGCCCCTACGAACTTGTCGATTCCGTGTAGAATCCAGAATCGACGAGTGGGAGGGGCGACACGCACGGGTCACTCGGTCAGCTGTCATCTGGCTGTCAGTTGCATGCCTCTTTAATCTTTCCCGTTTGACACCGAACGTATTGAGCTCCCACGTGCGATGGGGCTTTTAACGAATGACAGTACGACCGAATGTCCCTGAGCGGTTCAATCGACGACGCCGCGCTTTCCACAAAGAATTCGCGACACCGTTGTTATTGTTGGTTTTCTTGCGCGAGCGCGAGTTGCGCGATACGCTCGACCTTGAATTACACAGTTAATCAAGAGAGGTCGCGTGTCTGCAGGAAAGTCGGGTATCGCTTTCGATGTGATCGCGCGCGATCATTAGACCCGATGTAAATGTCAAATGTAACTTGTTGGAGTTTCGACCACGTGCAATGTAACATGGTACGTGGTTCCGTGAATCCGTTTCGCGTCTTTTCAGCGTGGAAACTGCGGAGACGCGGGTCGTTATTAAAGCCGATAAGCCTCCCGGTTCGTGCAACTCCATTTTCCTCGTTTTTAACGTTCGATCGTTAACTCGTTGTCGCGATATACCTTTTGTAACCCGTCTCGCGGCGCGTGAAAATTATCGAACGATATCGAAGGGATCGACGAATCGACGTATCGAATGCACGTTCTTCGGCCATATCGATGTAGGCCAGTATAGACTGTGTTGCAATAATCACACGGCTGTTAGTTGTCGGTGTTTGGACCCAGGCCAAGAAAACGCAATAATTTCAGCTCTGGCGGGGCTCTTTTACCACGGTTATGCGACGAGGAACTCACGGCCATGGGCTCAGTCGCTTGTACGAGTCTTCTGCTCTCGAAATTTCCTCTCTTCTTCTTTCTGGCCTCTCTTGCGGTCATCTGCAACGTGTTTATTTTAACTTCGAGAGGAGTTGATCTCTATTTTAATAAGTTGGCGTTGATAATGGTTCCTTTCTTATTTACGATTCTTCTCTAACACTCCTCTTTTAAAGCCAAAGTTTTTCTCGAACGGGTCTCTAATTATTGTTCAAATCGTGGGCTTTAATAATTTCAAGGGGTAAGACCACCGTGAAAACCAAAAAAAAATCGCAAAAAAACGCTTTATTTCAGGTTTTTACAGTGATCTTGGTATCGTTAGGGTTAAATAACGTCTTTCGATGTACTTTTCATAATATTGAATGCTCGTTGTTCCCTTGCTCGGCTACGACAAAAACGAGTAAGCACTCTTTCGTACCACGTGCTGGCAAGCACCGGGTCTCTCTCTCTGTGCACGCGTACCGATCGATGGAAAGAATTTCAAAACCGCTTTGCATCTCCGGGAAACGAAGTTCCCCGCGTTAATACATATAACGCTCGTAAATCAGCGTGTTTTTCCAGAACGATATCGTGCACGCGTCTCGTAATTGCCGTTAATGAATCGACGACGACCGTTTATCGATCCTTTCGTTTTCTCCACGCGGCGAGCAAACATTTGGAGAACGAACCAAGGAAAATAACACTTGGCATGCACCCTGAACTACGAAAGAATAGAAATGCAGGCGAAATTCCGCATTGAAGCCTATCGTTCGCGAGAGAGGGGAGGGGGTAAAAAAGTAGTTCGCTCCAAAAATTTTTGGCACAGAAATGGATGCACGGTATTGTTCGCGATGACCTATCGCGATGGTTCGAATCGTTTCATTTAATATTTCCGAATCCATTGTGGCGTCCATTCGATCCTCCCTTCCCTTAGATCACGGCCGGTACACATTTACGCTATTTCATCGCCGACAATAGATTCCCACCGAGGTGTTGGCTCCTTTCATAAGATAACAAGCTCCGCGAGTTTAATTTGCGCAGCAACGGTTCGATTAATTCGTACGGTGTAAAGAATCGGAATTTTCGTTTATCGATCGTTCGTTAAACCAAATTAAATCGAATCAGCGTTCCTCAAATTTTCCTGACCGTGATCTACTTGGACGAAGCACGTATCTCGTCGAGCTCGTTGGCCCCTCCCAAAATAGTCCAGGCGAATTAGACGTTAAAGTACTCGAAATTGGTAAAAATGTCCAATTCAAACACGATTTCGCAACATTCTTAATAGTGTTCTGTAGAAGGATGTAGAGTAGGTAAACAAAGTATTGGCACACACCTACTTTTCTTGAAATATCTTTACACGTTGCGGTGATATATTAATACAAACTATTTATTTAGTTAAAAGCAACATAAGTGTCCAGTACTTTTGTCAAGTAAATTTGATCAGGAGTTCCACTTGCGCGGTATCTTCGATTATTATTATCAATTATTTCCCCCCTTCAGTCTCACTCGTTGTTAAGCGACTATCTCTTCCACTTGTCAACGCATTGCAATGAACGAGGCTCTCGTGCAATAATCGAGATTCTGCTGTATTTAGAAACGACCATTGAGCGAGCAATCGACACCTCTGTCGATCACAGGTGCACGTTTAAACAGTGATCGACCTCCTTCGTAACATTAACCCAGAAGAGTTTGAATCAGGGACTCGAATAGTTACAACTAAGACAAAGTTATGGAACAATATACAAAGTTTATCCACATGTGAGTCAATTATCAGAAAAATGTATGAAAATTCTAGTTGCGTCGCAAGCACAATGGATACCCAGTACTTAGAAACGATGGTAGAATATTTATTGCTCTTCGGTCGTGTTCGCGATCCCAGGCAGGGACAGTAGAAGCGTTAATATTTAACTGAAAGTCTCGATCACTGGGTCATTGTCGACCACCGTTATACATTTTACCCTACTTTTAGCGTAGAAAGCCTAGACGGTTGTTCGTTTCCGTTTGTTTTCGCGTTTCACGCAGTCCCACGGATCCGATCGCGGGGCCGCGTAAATATAGAAAACCGTGCACGCGTTACGTATAGAAACGCGCGGATGAATATAAAATGTACATGCATCGGCATGCATAAAAGCCTCGCGGGTTCTCGGGGTAAGCAAATCACCGACCCGTAAACCATCCTTGACTCTCTCCTCGTCTTTGCCTACGAAGCGCCTGCATCGCAGAAATTGAAAACTATCGGCCTCGGTGGCAGCCTCTCTCGCCGGTGCATCTCGTCTTACGGAGACCAACGAACATTTTTTCACGCTCGTCGAGATACTAGATAGGCCAAACACCGCGATAAGGACCTCGTTTAAAGTGGACGTAATCCCACTGTGGCCACACATCACGTGCTCGTCGATAGAGGGCTACGCTCGACCATTCTCTCTCACGAGTACTCGATTGACCACAAACAACATTTCCGTAGAGCATCGAACAAATTTATTAGACATGAAAAACGAATTTTCAAGAAAAATCGGTAGGGTGTACGTGGACAAATTTTTCGGCAAAAAAAAGTTTCAAATCGTCCTGAAAAAATTATTTTTAGTTGCGGTGGTCGATTGCAATCATTTTTGGTGGATAGACATACTCGCGAAATCCTATTCGCTTTCGAGAAAAAAATTCGAGAAGGTGCGAAATTTTTCGACCAAATTGAAAAGTTTCAAATCATTCTGGAAAAATTATTTTTAGTTGCGGTGGTCGATTACAATCATTTTTGGTGGATAGTCATACCCCCGAATTCCTACGCACTTTCGAGGAAAAAATTCTTTACCGAATATACAGCGTCTGACCACGACTGTCTTGATTCCCTGATTCTCCTGAAATTTCATGCGTATGTTTAAAAAATCATAACTCCCGAACGGATTGGACCATTTTAATATTTCAAAATGCAAACGACGCGTATTTTATCGAAGAATATGTACAAAATCTAAGAATGTTCGGATAGTTGTTCCTTAACCCCGTAAAGTGGGAAAAACCGCATCAAAATGATCCAAATCCTCGTTCTCATCGCTTCATATTTAGGTATAATACAATTATCTTGCATAGAATGTCCGGAATTTGACTGTATATTGTCTGTTTCGAATAAGATTCTGTCCAAACAACTTCGAAACGACGATAATGAAGAGTAAACTTAATTACGACCACTCGATGGCGGCAAGGAATGCTTTATAACGCGGCACGGTGTGTAATTAAATGCGCAAGACGAGGCCCGCGGGAGAAAATCGGGTCGCGCGAAAGCAATTGGAATATGTTTGCACGCGGAATTATTTAAATCCCGAGACCACTTACGCGATCACGCCGCGGCGAGCC